TCTATGACAAGACACACTTTAATGTTGTATTGTGGACCAAATCATGAAACTGTTGGTATTTCATATTCAGCAGGTGGAGTATATAGACTCAGGCCCAGCTGTATCATATATTGGCTCATCAGTTGATCTATTAATAATAATGATAATAATAATAATAATAATAATAATAATAACAAGAATAATTGTATTTTATATAACTGACTGTGCTTCTTGTACTGTAGCATACATGTATGTTGGACTATCCTTCATTGATAGATCATCAGCAGTACTGTATGTGTGGGTGTGTATAATATAAACACAATCTGATAATCAGTAGTTTAACTAACTTTGTAGTATAAGCTGGACTGCATTCCATTTCAATCTCCTTATCTGGTTTTCTATGGAATTGTAAACTACTACAAATTTTAACATTAATTATAGTAAAAACATGTACCTCTTTTGCTTGATATTAGCTCTTTTAATATATACAACCAGTACCAGTATAATAATTACAGATACAGCCAATAGTGATGCTAATACTGTCACACCAACTATCCATCCAGTAATAGTTCCTCCATTCTTCACTAATACAGTAGTTGACACAGTAGCCAATGGAGTAGCCAATGGAATAGTCAATGCAGTAGTCATGGTAGTTGTCTCAGTAGAATAAGAAACTATAAACATAAAACTGATTAATGTATGCATCAATAGTGATATGTTTACTAATATTGCTCTTATATAAACTGACCAATTATTCTACTTGTTGATGATGCTAAAATAGTGGCCGATGTGAGATCAGTAGCAATGCTTGGTTCTGTAAATATTTTTAAAAGTGATGAAGTTTATTTAAAATTTTACTTGATTCATCAGGAGTTGATTGTATTTCTTGTCTAGCTGGTCCATTCATATTATAATTATAAAGTATTATACTCACAGTATAGTTAGTATATGGTATTAATCCTGTGAAATTATACATTCTGTTGTCTCCTCCAGTGATATTAACAGTATAACTAGTGTTTGAAGTGATGTTAGTGTATGTGAGGTAGTATCCAGTGATTGGTCCATTCCTTCCATTGCAAGGTACTTCATCCCATGAGACAGTCATTGACACTGACTCTACTGATGAGAATATAATATCACCCACTGGTGCAGTAGGGGCTATAGAGAAAGGACTAATAATAAATTTCAATAATTCTTCACTGACTTACCAGTTGAGAGTGTAGTAACAAGATAATTAGTAATCAAATAAGCTATCTCAGCTCCATATACTCCACTAAGATCAAAGTCCCATTTACTGTAAGGAGGTATACCAGTTGA